TAAAGGCTAGAATATTTTAAGGATATAAAGTGAACGCAACAGTGCTTAAAGGTTACAATTTTTGATCGATTGGAAAAAAATGAAACAGTTAAATTTTTTGAACAATTTGAAGTGAAATAAACAGTGTTTAATTTATATTAAACATATAAATATATAATATATTAACATACAGATATAGCGGCTAAGCAAGCGCTTACTCTTCCAGGACGGGACGCTGTCATTCTAACGGCACAAGATATAAGTATTTTCCTAAAAAATATTTTGTAGTTGGCAATCTATATGGAATGACAGCCCGTCAAGAAAACTAAAATATATTAAAATAAACAGTGAAGCCATGGTCAACATAAAACCGTCCTGTACGCAGAGAAGAGGTTGTCTTAGCCCGGCTGAGAAAAGACCATACTAATCTAACCCATTCACATCTCATTAGTAAACAGGCACCGCCAATATTGTAATAGTACACTTACAGTTAGCCACATTTTTCAAGAATGTCCTTTCTATATCTCGAATTTAACTAGTTTCAGACTCAAACCCCCAATATCAAACATCCTTAAAAATGATGAAGACACAGTAAAGATAGTATTGAATTTTAACAATTTTTTAAGCAAAATTTAAAAGTTAAAATTTGAATCCAATTCAGCGAAAAGCATAACTGACCCAGGCATTGATGGCCTCGATGTTTTAAGCCTAAAAAAAACCTCAACAAACATGAACTAAAGTCGCGCATACTGGATAGGTATGGAGCACTCCAGAAATTAATTCAGACAATGCGAAGAACTTTATCAGAGATTATAAATTAATTAATTAAAATTATTCGTAATTAAAAGTAATCATAAATGAGGTAGCTAAGGAGTTTGGGATCGAGATAGAGACTACTACTCTGCCAAATCACAACATCAAAAAGAAACACCAACGCTAGGATGAGCAACTAGGGTAGATCCAGTTTGCTATAAACTCTTCCATTCAAGATTCAACAAAGTTCAGTCCCGCCTTTTTTAATATTGGTAGAGAGCTAAGGCCACTACATCAGGCTTCCAAAGAAAATATTCTTGAGGCTCGCGTAGATGAACAAGTTCCGTGGGCTGTTAAAATGACTAAACTGCCCGAAGTTCATCATGTAGTCGAGGAAAAGTCTCTAAAGCCGAGTCTAACTAAGAGTTGTCGTTATAATTTGAGACGCCGAAAGGATCGTTTCCGTCCGGCTGATCTTATTCTCAAGAAGACTTTCCAGCTATCTTTGAGAGCGGATTAACTAGCAGCTAAATTAAACCTAAATATGAAGATCCTTATAAGGTTGAATTTATTAAGTTGAAAAATCAGGGTTGAAGATTAGCAGGTTTATAGTATCTTTCGAAACCTAAATTATTTCATCCAATCTGACGGACTTTCCCGCTGGAGGAGAGTGTAACGACTTTTTCTGAAAGGAGTTTGTCCGTCCGGTGCTGCTCTCAATAGGGAAATTATAGGCTTCATACAGAAGCTTACGATAAGCAAGTGTGCGTCTGTAACTTACCAATTAAGCACTCTGTACCTTACCTTGACTTATAAATACATTAATTTTAGTTGGTAAAGAACTCCCCATATTTGATTTTATTTATATATTTTTTTGTTACTCTCAGCGATAAGCAGCCTGCTTTATTTTTGCATTATTGTTAAATATTAATAACAAATTTTAAATTAATTGTTTCATAATAATTTTTTAGTTGGTAACATGTTCACTTATATGAAGTAGATATAATTGTTGCTATTGGTTCCTATGAAAAATTTGAAATACCTGGTCCTAATCCTAAGCCATGTCACAACGTGATGAACTTGAGTAAACTGGACAGTATACTCATTTTAACAGTCCAAGGAACCTGTTCATTTGCACGAGCCGAGAATATCTTCTTGGGAATCTGATAGAGGCCTCTAGCTCTCTACCTTCAAAAAGGCGGGACTGAATTTTGTTGAGTCTTGAATTGAAGGATTAAAATCAAACTGGATATCCCCTTGTTGTTCATCCCAGCATTGGTGTTTCTTCACCAGGTTCGTGATGATAAGTTGTTTTATGTTGCGGTTTGTCAGTTCTGTGGAATTTGCCTGCGAATGGTAAAGAAGAGTAATTTCTCTCTCGATCCCAAACTCCATAGCTACCTCATTTATAATGTTACTAACTATGTTCTTCGAATTGTCGGAAACTGGTGTTGAGGGGGTGTAGGTTTCTCATAACAACTCTTAAAGTTCGATCCTTCCGCAATTGACACGTGTGAAAATCTGCTTTGGTCATTGTTGGATACTTCACAATTTTTCAATCGGTCTCAGCTGTTTCTGGTGATATTTTGGTGTACTTTGTTGTGCTTAGACATGAGTAGCTTCCGGAGCTTGCTATTTTTTTAGTTGAGAAGATAGTATCTGAAAATGTTTTATATTCTTAACGAATATGTGGGGAGGTCGGGAATCTCTTGGTATCGGTGCGGAACCCATTACATTTTTGTCATTCTGAAGCACCTGATAGGGGTTGGGTATAAAAAACGGAGATTCTTCAGTTTTCTTTTGTGATTATGTACCAGGTTGAAGGTGAAGTTCTTCTATGTTCTCTTGTGGCGATGCACCTGGTTGGGTTTCATATTCTTCGGAACTAACAGGCTTCATTGGAGGTGTTTGGCGATATTTACGAAGCTTTTGTTTGACTGGAGAAGATCGGGATGTCGAGCCTAATGAGCTAGTTCTCTTATTAGTCGCCCTACTAGGAATGACCATGGTAATAAAAATAAAATCTATATGTTGATAACTGTACAGTGTAAATATAAACTTTCTGAAGTATCTTTGACCTGTTTTAAGTGAATAATAACAGATATTATTCTAAAAAACAGCAAATAATGAGAGCTGAGTTGGAAACACAACCTTAAACATGAGCTGATCCATTGAATTCCAAATGTTATGATTTGATTTAAAGTGGAATGAGACAATTATTCCTTAAATATGTAACTGCTTTACCTAAAATATTTTAATTCAAGTGAACATTATCGTGAATGTAATAACTAGTAGTAGTATAATTTTAGAAGTGTTATTATTATAATTTTTAATTATTATAATTTTGTACATTTTAAATCAATAAGTAGTGGGGATTTCAAATTTCTTTCGTTAATATACAAAAAAATATAATTAAAAACAAATTTTAAATAACATTAAATGTATACATTTTGATATATAATAAACATTGCAGAATTATTTCGTTCTGAAAATAAATAATAGGGCTCCGAAATGTTAACAAAGTTAACGTATAATAATTGTTTACTAAATAGAAAATGCAAACCTATTATTTAATTCAATTAATTTCTTAATAATTCTGAATAAGAAATTGATTGAATTACGTAATGCATCTCCATTGTTACGGATAGTTACAACAGTGAGACACGATTTAAACTATTGGCGATGTTTGAGCCATATGTTGACCGATCTTATTGGGATGTAAGGAAGGAAATTTGACTTTTCATTGATGTGTGTCGGAAGGTCCTTTTCTCTCCTACACCTAGGCCAGGTCGGCTATCGTCGAGGGCCCCAAGTCAGAGGGGCTCCCGGAAGAGGCCCCAATATTCACGGACTTACATTTTGCTAGTACCCTGGTACGTGAAGGGGCGAGGTGGCCGAGCGGGCTAACGAGTGTCCACAGCATAATTAAGTTACATATAACAAAATAATTACGAGTTCGCTTCCCGGTTCCGATTAGTCTTTTAACACTGCCATTAATCTCCCACCCTCACCCTTTGGCCGGGAAAACCCCCGTATAGCCTAAAAGGCAAGGAAGGTGAGTACAAAAAAAAAATTATAGTATCGTGGTATGTTTTATCTCAAAAATAATTTTATTTTATGTTTTACCTCAATTGTTTGGGGCCCCTCCGGTAGGACCTTAGTGTATAGGTGCTGTGTCATTGAATTTTATGTTATACGAATTTTATGTTACCCTAAAACAAGAATGGAAATAATAACTGAATAAATAGAAATAACAATCCAAGTTAAAATATAAAGAAGTAACTAAGATATATGTTTGTCACTAGCCTTATGATAGATCTGAGAAAAGGAATAAAGATCTAGGTATGAATAGAAAGCATTAATCGGATATGTGGATAGGCTTTTCTACTGGTATGCTTTATATGAAAAATTAAAACACAGGTAATTCATCCACTTCCATTCCCTCTGGCATAGAATGCGACTATTCATAGCACGAATAACTACTGCATCCACTGCCGCAATGCAGTCCCTGCAAGAGGTCAGATAGTATGGGGATGGCTACTGTGGATGACACATTATCCGGTATTCGTAAACCAAGATCCTTATTTGAGGCCGTAAAACAACATCCGAAAACCAAATATGGTCTTGTGACAGATCTCTTTTTTTAATGATTCTAGCTCCCTCTGCGTGGTTTTTCATCCAACCTGATGGAATCAGATATACCAGGTGCCGTACTGAGGGCCACAGTGCTTGAAGAAAATTAACAAAATATACCCATTTGAGCTCTGAATTTGTGTGTTTATTTATTGGTTAGTAACCGACTGAAGGAATTATAATCAAGATCTGTTCTATAGTTATGTTCTGATAGGCAGACATACCATATATTTCAACGGAGAAATAGATAAGCGGTTTAAGAAGCTGCAAAGAGGCTACTAAATCTCGGTAAGGGCTGATCATATATAAGTGTTTATATATAAGTTGTGCATTTGACATTGGTACTAATATGAAACGTGTAAGCCAAAATGACACTAGGAAAAGGAAAGAAATAAGACAAAATATTTAGAATTTGTATGTATAAAGTACTTAAATATATAAAGAAAGTGGCTTTTAGGGATAAAAATATCCTTTCCGGACCCCATCTTGGAAAGGAGGACCCACTTACGACCACAGCCAAGGAACTCCGACTGATCCAGACCGGGCCTTCCCCAACCTCTAATATTTAAGGATCATTACCAATGATCTAGCAGTTTTTTTTTTTCATAAATAATAGTAAAGCTGATAATACATACTTATCCCTGCTTTCTGAGGACGGTGGACTGATAGGACTGGGAATTCGATTGGCACTGTAGCAGCTAGTTGAACACTTCATCGTCATTTTGTCGGTATACTTTTCCTGAGGTTCAGAGATACTCCCAGACCTCATTAACTTTTTATTGTTTTGAATAGGAGTGTCCTTCTTGGCTTCTTGCATCTGTACAAAACGACATAGTTAAGAACCTCAGCGCGATAGTTCATTTATTAAACTAATTAGTTGAAGATAATTGTAATAGGCACAGTTTCGATTTTAATGCACACTTAAACAAATCAACATAATTATTATGATACGAACAATAAATGTAATACTGTATGTTCATAAGTCCTAAGGGAGATGTTTATTTTTATAAGGTATATGAAATAAAGTGATTGCTTAATCTCCAAAAAAATTTTTCTTTATTTTTATGAAGTTTCAGGATCCACTTTATTATCCCTCCTTAAGACTAGAAATAAGAAACATTTGTGTTATTTGTATTCATATTTTTAAATGCATATATTAATATAACTTATCATATCAATAACTGATTTGCCAATCTTATTCATTTCTCATCTTTCCATCCATAGGTTAAAGCAAAAATATGTCATCTATAAGGTTGAATGAAATAATTTCGAATCGGTATACATAGGTAAATCCAGACATAATATTGAAAAAAGAATGAACCAGTATTTTATGTATTCAAAAAATACTAAATTATATAATAAAACAGCCCTAGCTCACCATAATACCGTAAATAGACATATATTTAATTTAACACAAAGAATCAAATTAAAATAAACATTACACAAATAATCAAAAAGTACACACAGAAAAATAATAGAATCTATATCCATAACAAAACATATTAATTAAGCAATAAGTTATAAAACAGATGCAGTCAAGATATTAAGCCATTATACTTACATACTTAACAAATTAAATATATGAAATGACAAAACCTCTCGGTATTTAATCCTTAATGCAAAAATTAGTTCAGTGTCTGACTAGGCTCTCCCTAGAGAAGAGTCTACAATATAACCAAGGTGAATAAATTTATACTTTATATAAATTTATACATGATACTTACATACAAAGAATAATAATAACGCAGAAAAAAATATTGCATTTTTAAGGATGATTTATAATTATAAAAATTATGACAAGAATTTAAAAAAGAAATAGATGATGGAAAGATGAGAAATCGGTAAGTTGGCAAGTCAGTTATAAAAATATATGCATTTAAAAATATCTAATACAAATTACACAAATGTTTCTAATCTTAAGATCTCGAAACGTCATAAAAATAAAGAAAAAAATGTTGAAAGAGTAAAGTGTTACTTAACTTTATTTCATGGCACTGTATATTTAAATATGTATACATAGTATATTTGTAATCCAAATTTTTTACCGATAGAAATACCTATTGGAAATATAATGCTAACAAATTAATGAATATGTAAAATATTTTTGCACATTAAACATGGAAAAAATCAGCTTATATGACATATACGCAACTTCTTCTATTTCTAAAAATTTTTCAGATAAATATGAATAATTTAAAAACTGAAAAATACTAATTATTCCGAATATTGTACAGCCTTAAAATAAAATGAAAATGAACATAAAAAAGCATGCAATGATAACAACAAAATGTATTATTATAAGGGTTTTAAACATTTATGTGTGCAGGGGCATTATAGCATTATTTCTAGTATCATGACATTCTTCTTGTCACATATATTTACTATAACCGTAGCCTATGGAACGGAACTAGAGAAGGCTAAAGGAGAACTGGTTCCAGGCGTTAGAATTTATAGGTTGACAAATATCGAGAAAAAAGATTTTAGCTTAACAAGGGGAGACTACAAACAGTGGCTCGCCTATTTCAACCATTTTTTTCTCGATGATACAACCTCGAAAAATATTGGACACATATCCGGGCGTTCGCTCCAAAAAATATTTACTCTAGATACCAGACCGGTTTAGAATAAATATTATATCAGGCAGATAGCTACAATATTGCTACAATCTGGACCAAGCATCGTAGTAAATTCGCACCTAAAAAAACCCTTAAATATGAATTTTCATACCAATAAAAAATTGAAATTTTCTGAAGACTACAAAAATAGTGATAAATTTAGAACGGCTCCATCGATTAACACAAAAATGATTAGCGATTTAGTGTTCTATATGTTACAGGAAATGGTACCCAACCAACCTCTGTAAAATAATTAGAACTTAAATTTTAAGAGAAATAAGTTTTTTTACAGTTGACAAGTTTTTTAAATTTCTAGTTTAAAAAGGGATGAAATTTAAAAGCCATCTATCTGGATTGGATGGAAGAGCAGTAATTCAGATTGCCAACTATTGTACTAACTTTGAATTTGTAGAAAATGCTGAGATGTTATGAATGCTTTAGTTATCGGCCAGAAAAAAAAATCCTCCAAGAAATCAAGTATTAAATTTTGCAATTTTTGACTTCGTAAATATAAGAATTTCAGAGGAAACTAAAAACTAATCAAACTTGCGTTTTCATAAAAAAAAAAATTACTTGGCTTACTTTACTGAAAACGCCTTATTTTTTTTTTTTTTGTAATTTATGATGATACATAACAACTAATTTAATAAAATAGTCAATATTTTTTTTATTCTTTTCACCAAAAAAAAAAATCGATTGATATATAATCTAAAAATCCGGACAAAGCAAAGGCAAGAATAAGTAACATAAATTTTGTTTGAAATGATATAAAACATTATCTTTCTCGGCTCCTAGGGGCCCATTGGAAAGAACCCCAGAATATGTGTCCAATATTTTTCGATGTAGCATCATCGAAAAATATTTGGTTGAAATCGGTGACTGTAGCCACCCCTTGTAAGCAATACATTTTTCTTTGTACTTTTTGGTTCTTAATTTTGATCTGAATTCAGTAAATAACACGAATTAATAATATCTGATAATGATATTTATTTCGAAATTCATTACTTGAAATACTAATTTCAGTTGTCGGGTTGCATTAGAGAGGGTGAATGAAAGAAGCACAGTTTGCCCCTCAATACTTTATGAAGTGGAGCCAGAATTTCACTGGCCTGCAATGTTTATACAGTCATTTCTTTAAAAAAATACATTAGAATTCAATAAACTATACGAGTAATAATTATATTATTTTACAGGCAATGAAGTGATGACTGCTACTTTATTGTTGTCGAACCTTCCCTCCATCCTTAAATATTTCTTAACTGCCCCTAAGGAATAAAACGTCTGTTTTATTAATTATTAATCTTGTCGACTTACTTATAAAACCCTAAAACTCCAAGATACTGAATCCTTAAAAGTATCTAACGTTCACTGTCATACTTAAAATGTGTGATGTTATGTTTTTTATCATACATTTGAGAATTTTACCAACGTACAACATGAAAAAAATAATAAACATTTTTACATTTTTTCAAATAGGAATATATTTTCTGCAGGCGTTCCACAAGGTAGTATCCTCGGTCCCATCCTCTACACAGTTTATATAGCTGACATCCCAACCCATCCTGACACTGTCATCACCACTTACGCCGATGACACATGTTTGCTATCTGTTAATAACGATCCTTTCATTGCATCCCAAAGTCTTCAATCACATATCACAAGCCTTGAAGAATGGTGTAAAAATTGGTGAATAAAAATAAATTCCAACAAATCCCATCAAATCACCTTTACCCTCCGTCGTAAACCTATGACTTCTTGTCCTACAGTAACCTTCAATAATACTCCACTTATTCCTGTTGAGCAAATCCGCTACTTAGGACTCCATTTGGATAAACGTCTTACTTGGAATCCTCATACTAGACTGAAACGGAAACTGCTCGACGTTTCCGACTGCTCCAACACTTACTAGACAAACGCTCCAAACTTTCTATTAATTACAAAAGACTTATCTACATAACTATAATAAGACCTATATGGACATACGGAGTTGAGCTTTGGGGCTCCACCAAACCATCGAATTCCTATCGTATCCAATCCTTACAATCCAAAATTCTCCGTAAAATCCTTAATGCTCCATACTTTGTCAAAAATAAAACCATTCATAAAGACCTTAATGTACCATATGTCGCTGATTTAGCTCGAGCCATATATCTATCCTTTCATGATAAACTTCAGTCCCATCCAAATCCGCTTGTTTCCACTCTTGCTTCTTCCTCGATTCCTGATAATCCTCCTAGGCGTCTGAAAAGGAGATGGCCTCGTGATCTTCTTACTTAAAATTATTTAGAGAGTGCTACCACTGGGTAGTAACTCTTCAAGCCTGTACATGCCATTATTTATATTTGCGCATATTTACTAGTTGTATTTGTATACAGTTGTAAATTCCATTAAATAAACAAAAAAAAAAAGGAATATATTTGTCTCCTTCAGAGGAATTTGTTGTGTTATGGAATTATGAGGTAGCCATCGATATCATATATGTTAAGCTCCTTCACGGTGTTAAGACAACACTTAGGATAAAGCTTAACATATAAAATAAATAAGAATGTTGATGGACTGCAAAATATTGAACAAAAATTAATCCGTACAATAATCATTTTTTTTTACACAAAAAAGAATAAATAAATAAAATCACTTTTACTCTTGATAGAAAAAAGCAGCAAATACACTAGAATAAAAGAAACTTTTTATTAATATTATAATAATAAAATATACAATATAATAGTATTATATATATATATATATATATATATATATATATATATATATATATAATATATATATATATATATATATATATATATATATATATATATATATATATAAAGGGTGTCGCAAATTAGAGGGAAAATTTTGATAGGAGTAATAACAGACTTCAAGAGCTACAAAAAAGTTTATATAAACAAACGATCCTGGATTTCTTACTTTTTCGTAGAACATTGGCTCTTTGTTTATATACATTTTTTTGTAGCTCTTGAACTCTTTTTTGTTTTTTTCTTTTTTTTTTTCGGTTGGCACTACAGACATATATCTTTGGCAACCTGAACCAGCCTTCTCCATCTTGGGATTCTGCTTTCTAGTTTGTAGCATGAAGCACAGGCGTATCTTTGTTTATCCTATTTATCCATCTGGTTTTTGGCCTCCCACGTGGTGTCTTGCCCAAAACTCTGGCATTCATTGTTGTGTAAAGGTGTCATGATGG